GTTACTTGCTGAACACTTTCACTGTAGAGTAATGTGAGTTATTTTCTCAGTAAATGTATTGCCAAAAGTCAAGATCACTAATATATATTCAGCCGTTCCCCGTGAACAATTTATAATTATTCAAGTAAAGACTTCCTCCTCCTCCATGCCCTCTTCATTTACCTCCTCATCCGTCCGCTATTGTTCTGCTTCTTTATGAACACAGCTCACTGAAGCCTGAAGACAAAAATATCCTAATCAGGAGTAGTCATGGGATTATGAAGCCAAAGCAAGAAGGAAAACAAAAACCCCATTTCAACTGCCATGCAGATATCGTCATGCTGCTTAACCATAGTGCTCAAAGAATGCATGTGATAACTATGTTATTTAAGTGCTGCTATTGATAATCGAGTTACTGATATGCATTAATAGCCATAGGAATTATATGCTTGTGAATTCTGAGATATTTATTTTTGATGGTTTCTTTTTAACCTCACCCATGGATAAACTTTGGTAATGAAAAATGAATGGATAAACTATCCACAGTACATCTACACTCATTTTTTATTTTGTCATCTACACTCATTTTATGCCCAAGTAAGAATGATGCCAAAACACTTCTAGTGATAAAAGCACAATTACATTTATTAAATAAAAAGCAAAATGATATGGAGAAATGGAGGTGAAATTGGTAATAATACATGTTCATAATAATATAAGATAAAAACATGCAAATTCTCTGTAGTATAATACTAACAATAAAAATGAGGTTTACTATGTTCCAAGGGTAATGGTAAAGTAACTTGTTACCAGCGTAATTCTCCTGTCCAAACAATTACAAACTGTAAATGAAGTATAAAATGCAACTGTGGAAAGGCCCTGGAGAGTCACAAAAAGCATATTGAAACTGGAGGGGATTCAACTCTTGAGAGAAAGAAACCAAAGTAGGTAAGATCACATTTGTTTGGCTTTTCCCTAAAGCCTTTCCCCAACCCAAATGCCTAAATTCAGATCAAAAAGAAAGCTGCACTCTCATTTCCCTGAGAAGTCAGAGAACATATTTAGCTCATATTTAGAGCCCCTGGAAATCGAGGGACCCACAATGGAGAACACCAAAATCTGTGTAGAAACTCCTCTCAAATCCTTCATTGACTGCAGAGCAGCTCATAATGGCGGGGGGCTAGGGGGGTGGACGGGTTGGGGGGGTGAGGTTATCAACTGAAAGTCTGAAAAAGCTGAGCAAAAATTCCCACAGCTTCCCATAGCAAGAGGAACATTGCAGTTCCTATCCGGCCAAATTACAGTGACTTTCCATTGAAACAAAAATGTATCATGACTTGAGAGTCAAGCACAAAATAAAAACAAAGACCTACCTAACAAAGTGAAAGGCAAGCCTCCACCTTCCTAATTTCTCAGTACTTTAATAGCTGCCTGCTAGACGAATGGATGAGGAAGCTGTGGTACATATACACCATGGAATATTACTCAGCCATTAAAAAGAATTCATTTGAATCAGTTCTAATGAGATGGGTGAAACTGGAGCCCATTATACAGAGCGAAGTAAGCCAGAAAGATAAAGACCATTACAGTATACTAACACATATATATGGAATTTAGAAAGATGGTAACGATAACCCTATATGCAAAAAAAGAAAAAGAGACTCAGATGTATAGAACAGACTTTGGGACTCTGTGGGAGAAGGCGAGGGTGGGATGTTTCAAGAGAACAGCATCGAAACATGTATATCTAGGGTGAAACAGATCACCAGCCCAGGTTGGATGCATGAGACAAGTGCTCAGGCCTGGTGCACTGGGAAGACCCAGAGGGATGGGGTGGAGAGGGAGGTGGGAGGGGGAACCGGGATGGGGAATACATGTAAATCCATGGCTAATTCATTTCAATGTATGACAAAAACCACTGCAATTTTGTAAAGTAATTAGCCTCCAACTAATAAAAATAAATGGAAAAAAATAAAAATAAAATTTTGTATCATAAAAAAAATAATAATAATAATAGCTGCCTGCTAGAACAAAACCCAGCCTTGTTCAGAGAAAAACAATGGTGTCTAGAGTTGTAGAGTCTACAGCGTATCATTTGAAACAGAATGGAGTGAAGGAATTGGTAAAAATAAGAGACAAAGACCTTAATATGGTTAGAATGATTTCTTCCAGTTTATTCTTCTATTTCAAGATCAACTACACTAGAGACTATGTCTTTCCATATAACTTTTAGAAAAGTTTGTCTATGTCTATAAGAAACTTTGCTTAGACTTTGATAGGAATCTCACTAACCCTATGATCGATTTGGTAAAAAGTAACATCATTATAATGTTGAATCTTCCAGTCCATGGACATAATACATCTTTCCATTTATTTAGATTGTCTTCAATTTTTTTCATGAACATTTTATAATTTTTAGCATATGGAATCTATACATGTTTTATTAAGCTTTATGTCTAATGTTACAATTTCTTTGGGGTGATTGTAAATGACATTGTATTTTAAATTTTGGTTTCCACACAGCCATTTTTAGTATGTGGAAATGTGATTAATTCATTGTATCTTGTGAAATTGATGAACTAATTAAATATAGAAGACTTTATGTTGATTTATTGATTTTCTACATAGACAATCATGTCATCTACAAGTATAGGCAAATTTATTTCTTCCTCTCCACTCTGTAAGCCTTTGATATCTTCTTGCGTTGTTGCAATAGCTAGAATTACTGATATTATGGTGAAATAAAAGTGATAAAGGCAGACATCTTTGCCTTTCTCCTGATCTTAGAGGGAAAACTTTCAGTGTTTCTGCATTAAATATGATGCTAGCTGTAGATAGTTTATAGATAGCTCTGTCAGTTTAAGGAAGTTACCCTCTATTTCTAGCTTACTGAGTCTTTGTCATGAATATTTGTTGAATACTGTCAAATATTTTTCTCCATCATTTGATATATTCATATGATCTGTCACTTTTAGCCTATTGATAGTGTAGATTAAATTGATTGATTTTAAAAAGTTGAACTACTCTTGTATTCCTAGAATAAATCTACTTGTTTATGGTTTATAATTCTTTTGATGTGTTTTTGGATTACATTTACTAATATTTTGTTAAGGATTCTTGTGTCTAAATTTATGGAATATATTGTATCTGTAGTTTCCTTTTTCGGTACCGTTGCTGTCTGATTTTGTGGTCAAGCTACTACTAGCCTCATAAAATGAGTGAAAATATTCCTCTCCATTTCTTTTTCCAGGGGTAAATTGTGTGAAAAATGGTGTCAAATATTTAAAACTTTTGTAGACTTCTCCAGTCTTTTTCTTTTTCAAAAGATTTTAGTAACAAATTTAGTTTCTTTAATGATGATGATATGATCATTCAGGTTATCTCATCTTACTTAAAGCTTGTAATGTATGGTGTTTGAATTTTTTTGGTCTATTTCTTTTAAGTTGTTGAATTTGTGACAATAAAACTATTATAGTAATACCTGGTTATCCACTTAAATGTCTGCAGAATCTGTCATTATATCACATGTTTTACTCCTGATACACAGAGTTTATGTTAGTCTTGCTAAAAAAAAAATTATCAATTATGCTGTTTTTTGTTTTATTTTTTCATTTGAAACATCTTGAAAAATGTTATGCCACTGTCTTTTGGCCTTCATAGTGTCAGATGAGAAATCCACTGTTTCCCTATAAGTAATGTTAGTCTCTCAGGCTGTTTTCAAGATTGTTTAATGTCTTTCATTTTCAGGGTTTATCCAATCTGAATTTCACTCAGCTTCTTATATCCATAAGTCTTTTACTAAATTTGGGAAATGTCAGCCTTTATTTCTTCAGCTGATTTTTTAGGTTCAATTTCTATTCTCTTTCTGAGTATCTTATGATAACTTTGCTGTTAGTTTGTTATTCATTTACTGTCCCTGACATTCTGGTGATATTGTTCTCGTTGTCAGTCTATTGTCTCTCTATTGCTCAGATTGGGTAATTTCTATTGATTTGCACTTAAGTTGCATGATTCTACCCTCTGTCATCTCCCCTCTACTATTAAGGTGACCCAGTGAGTTTTTTAACTTGGTTATTATATTTGTCAGTTATATAATTTCCATTTGGTTCCTTTTCATAATTGCCCTTTCTTATCTAGACATTTCTTTTCATTTTCATTAAAAATTCATACTGCTTGTTGAAGCATTTTTCTTAAGGCTGTTTAAGATCCTTGTTAAATAATTCCAACATCTGATTGATTTCAATGTTGGTTTTACAGATTTTCATTTCTCATTCATGTTATTTTCTTGGTTACTGGTATGATAAGTAATTTTCTGTTATGCATGCATGCATGCTAAGTCATTTCAGTCATGTCAGACTCTGTGCAACCCTATGGACCATAGCTCACAAGGATCCTCTGTCCATGGGATGCTCCAGGCACAAATACTGGAGCTGGGCTGCCAGGCCTTCCACCAGGAGATCTTACCAACCCAGGGATCAAACCTAGGTCTTTTATGTCTCCTGTATTGGCAAGCAGATTCTTTACCACCAGCACCACCTGAGAAGCCCCAATTTTCTGTTATATCCTAGACACTTTGCATATTATATGAAATGCAAAAACCTTATGAAACGTTTTTTAGTAGGGAGTCCCCCCTTTTAGGTATAGTGTGAGGGTTGAATGGGTGTGTTTGACCAACTTCCCTGTGGGTCCTGTCAACATCATGCCAGCCAGAGCATAGAACTGACTCGACTGCCAGGTCGGCTCTGAATGGGGTTTTAAGATCGCCTCCCCTCTGGATGCCACTGTCTCTAAGCATAGAGTAAAGAGGACTGACTCAGGCTTCTCTGTTGCCGCACGGTGGGGGCCAGACACTCGGCTCTGTAGGTTCCCACGGACACCACAGGAGGAAAGGAGAGCAGATGCCGGCCAGCGCTGCCTGCCACCACCTTGTTTTACCTCATAATGCCGGGTGGGGGTGGAGGCTCTGCTCCCCACCAGGACAAGAGATGGCACTTCACACCACCCCAGTAAGTCTCACTGCTGAGGAGGATTCAGCTCAATCACCAGACTCTGCCAACACTACCCTGAAAGGGGGGGGTCAGTGTCATCTGCTTCCACCAGGTGAGAAAAGTAAGAGCCACTTCCCACAGCCTCCCTGATCCTACCCTGACAGGAAAATCAAAGGGCTGCCTGCTTCTGCCCGATGGGGAATGGAAGATCAGCTACCCACTCCATCTTACCAGTTGTACACTGGCAGGGGAATCAGATAGCTGCTGCCTGCTTCTGCTGGGCAGGGATGGAAGAACCGCTTCCAGCTGGGCCTCACCAACAGCTCACGGTGGGGGAATGAGTGTGCTGCCGACTTCCTCAGGGCACAGTGTAGGGAGTGATGGTGGAACCGTGAAAGGCAGAAGGGGATTTTCTAGTCACTACTGTGTCATTCCTAAAATGATGAAGTCCATGGCTGCCGACCTTATTTCCACCTTTCAGTTTTCCTGTGCTTGTATTATATCCAGAGAGTTCTTTTAGCTGTAAGAAGGAAAATCTGGGAAGAGTGACAGGCTTCTTCATTTCAGGTAAAACAGAAATACCCCTTTATGGCAGAGCCAGGAGAATGGCCTTCAATTTTATATATATATTATATATATATATACATATATAATATATGTGTGTGTGTATTATTGAGGATTAATTAATATAACCATAAAACTCACCTCACTCATTTAAAACACATAATTAATGGTTTTTAGTATATTTATATGGCTTCCCCAGTAGCTCAGTGGTAAAGAATCTGCCTGCAATCCAGGAGCTGCAGGAGACATGAGTTTGATACTTGGGTCAGGAGGATCCCCTGGAGGAGGGCATGGCAACCCACTCCAGTATTCTTGCCTGGAGAATCCTATGGACAGAGTAGCCTGGTGGGCTACATACAGTCCCTGGGATCACAGAGTTGGACAGGACTGAAACAATTTAGAATGCACAGTATCTTTATAGAGGTGGACAGCTATCACCACAATCAACTTTAGGACATTTTCATCACCCCCCCCAAAAAAAATCCTATATGCACTAGCAGTCACTCTTCATTTCTCCCTAACCTCTCCAGCCCCGGGGAACCACTAATCTACTTTCTCTCTAAATATTTGTCTATTCCATTTCATATTAATGGATTAATATAAAGTCAGTCTTTAGTGATTGACTTCTTTCACTTAACACAATGTTGACGAGGTTTACCCATGGTGTAGCATGTATCAGTACTTCATTCCCTTTTAAGTCTAAATAATATCTCATGGTTTGGATATACTATATTATGCTTATCCAAAAACTCATCAGTTGAAAGACTTTTGGGTTGTCTCTATTTGGGAGCTATTACTTTAAAAGCTACTATGAATATTTGTGTACAGGTTTTCATTTCTCTTGGGTGTACACCTAGAGGTAGGTTTGCTGAGTCTTTTTTATTTTTTTGGTGAGTCTTTATCATAACTCTATATTTATCCTTTTGCAAAACTGCCAGATTGTTTTGCAGAGTGGCTGTACCATTTTACATACCCATCAGTGTTATATGAAAGCTCTAGTTCTCTACATTCGCTCTGACACTTTTTATTATCTATCTTTTTTAGTGTGGTCATCTTAGCAGGTGTGGTTTTGAGATTCATCTCATTAATGACTATGTCCACTGAAAAATATTGCACAACCTAAAACTTGAGAATTATGTTTTATTTGGTGGGACAAAACTGAGGACTTAAACCCAGGATGCAGCCTCTCAGAGAGCTCAGAGAAAGTGCTCCAAAGATGTAAGAGAAGAGCCAAGATATACAGGAGCTTTTGCAACAAAGATCGGGTATTGGAACTTCAAAAGATTACTGTTGATTACAGAAAACCAGGTATCTCAAGTTAGGGAATTTAACACTAGTTTATGTATAGGAAGATGTAAGAATTGAAAACTTCCCTTGGATATGCATCTTAGCTATCTAAGGCCAGTATTCTGGTTTTTTCCCACCTGGAGTCCCCTCAGAGTGTACCACTCAAGATAGCCAGCAGTGGCTGGGGGCTTGGTAGCTGGACGCCAGTTTCTCTGCATCTTTAATTCCCTCAGGGCTCATTATCAGGGGCAGTAATGTGAAAGGTTGACAGCTGCAACATCCTTTGTTTACTGATATGGCAGGCATAATTTTTCATTCACAACTAGTAATATTGAGAATATTTTTATATGTTTATTGGCAATGTGTATCTCTTCTTTGGAGAGATGTCTCTTCAGATCCTTTATCCATTTTTTTAATTGGGTTAACTTGCCTTTTTATAATTGAATTGTAAGACCCTTTATACATTCTATAGGCAAGTTCCTGATCAGATATATGTTGATATATATGATACATGCTCCCATGAGTTCTCTTTTTACTTTCTTAAGAGTATCCTTTGAACCACAAAGATTTTTAACTTCGATGAAGTCCAACCTGAATTTTAAAAATCAGGTATAATTGTGATGGATATTGTTTTTCTTCAGTAGTATATACACTCTATATTTGCTGATCTGTTTTTATTTGTGTTATTTATTGAGGCATACCTAGAAAAATTTAAAGCATCCTGTAAAATTTTCCTGGGCTACCTTTTAAGCTCATTAAAGAGCACCTACTGGGGATAAAGCTTACATGGTCTGTGTGAAGTTTTTATTTTATTTTGTTTGCTCTTATATTTTCCTCTTAATGGGTTTCCCATGTAGCTCAGCTGGTAAAGAATCCACTAGCAATGCATGAGGCCCCGGTTCCATTCCTGGGTTGGGAAGATCCACTGGAGAAGGGAATGGCTACCCACTCCAGTATTCTGGCCTGGAGAATTCCATGGACTGTATAGTCCATGGGATTGCAAGGAGTCAGACACAACTGAGCAACTTTCACTTCACTTCACTTTCATCTTAACAATTTTAGGAATATCTCCAAATATCTACAAAGTTTCTGGTTCATGTATATGATTGTGTCATGAATGTAAAATTCAGCTGTCATATGTGGCATAGGAGAAAAAAAGGTAGAGAGATGTATTAACCAAGGTTCTTCAGAAAAACAGAGCCAACAGGATATATATATATATATCCTCCAACAGAATATATATATATATGTACATAAGAGACGCCAATGTCTGATACAGGATAAGATGTCTCAGCTCAAGGAAACAGTGAATAAACAGTGAATATACCCTTCCTCACTGATTCAAATGCTAATCTCTCCCAGAGACACCCTCACAGACACATGCAGAGATAATTGTTTAGCAGCCATTTGGGCATCCCAGTCAAGTTGACACATAAAATTCTCTATCACAAAAATCGTGTGACAGTCATCATCGTGGTTGGTATCTAGGAAAGGACCAAAATCTTGACATGAAAGTTACATTCTGTCTGAGCTAGATGTAGAGTTCAGGGAGGACTCCAAGGAACTGTCTGGATGCCACCCTGTGCATGGCATGAGGCCTCTGCTAAAATCTGCTCATGAATCACAGAGAGCCACCAAACCATGCGGTATTAAGAGTTCTCTGTCACAACAGAGATAATAGATTCTGAAGACAGCAAAAGAAAGTGATCAATATTCTATCATGTTTCATGGTGTTTGATTTTCAAGAAAAATAAATGCCAACTAAACTGCCTTAAAATGAGATGCACTCAAGGGAAAAAAGCCTAATGCTTGGACCCAAAAATCATTTCCTAAAACAATTTTATGGGGGCATAAAATTCCAGCATTATAGCATAATGTGTAATACTATTTTATAGTGTAGAGTATTAGTTTAGACATTACACTTTGTTCAGTAATAGCTTATTGAATATATAGCATGTGAAAAGACAATAATAAAAGCATGAACATTGTAAAACATAGATTTGAAGGTGCAAGCAGTCCCTCATCCTGAGATTTTACAAGCGTAGTATTTTAGAATGGCTAGCCTAGAGTTTTGTAATTTATTGATCAGGGATTAAATAAACTACAAAACAAACTAATTAACTGAGTTCAAAGAATGTAAATCTTATTTGAGATGTAATATACCTAGTATTCTGGGATTGCAATTACTAAATATTATAGAAAAAACTACGTAAAAATATTTTCCCTGCATATTCCCTACAGATGTGTTTTTCAATTTCTTAAAACAGTCTTCACAGAATGTTTGGCTGACCAATTAAGTAGCATGCACTATCTACATTAGAGACATTAGAAGGAAAAGAAAATAAGTAGTTTGAATATGGGCTTCTTAGAAAGGAACAGCTCGTGAAACTCTAAAGGTATAAATGTGGCAGAGGATGTATATTCTTTTGCCAGTGGCCTGTGGAGCAACGGAATGGAGAACAGTAGCAGTCGCCTGAAACTATACATAGGACCTTGGCACTGTTCTTTGATAAAAATCATTTTTTTTATAATTTCTAAAAAGAAATATATCCATGACAGAAATTTTGAAATAATAGCAGATTATAAAATTAAAATTAAAATTACTTTTTTACAATAATAGATATGTATAATTTATACATAAAAATAAAATCATAATCCTATATCTGAGAATATATTGCAATCAAGTAGATTCCAAACTGTATTACTTTACAACAAAGGTCCATCTAGTCAAAGCTATGGTTTTTTCAGTAGTCATGTATGGATGTGAGAGTTGAACTGTGAAGAAAGCTGAGAACTGAAGAATTGATGCTTTTGAACTGTCGTGTTGGAGCAGACTCTTGAGAGTCCCTTGGACTGCAAGGATATCAAACCACTCAGTCCTGAAGGAAATCAGTCCTGAATATACATTGGAAGGACTGATACTGAAGCTGAAACTCCAATACTTTGGCCACCTGATGTGAAGAACTGACTCACTGGAAAAGACTCTGATGCTGGGAAAGATTGAAGGCAGAAAGAGAAGGGGACGACAGAGAATGAGATCATTGAATGGCATTACTGGCTCCATGGACATGAGTTTGAGCAAGTTCCAGGAGTTGGCAACAGACAGGGAAGCCTGGCGTGCTGCAGTCCATGAGGTCGCAAGGAGTTGGACACCACTGAGCGACTGAACTGAGCTGAGTATTAATTGCATAGAAAGTGTACTATATATTTCACAGAATGGCCCCCATGACATTGTCACCTTGGCCCCAAGTGGCATTTACCTCATCTCTGAGCAGCAGTTATAGTCCCTCTCACCTTAGATACCACCACCACTTCAAATTATCATTTCTTATCCTTGCAGTACCATTAATAAAGATGTCACTGTGAAAAAAGGAAGTTATAAATGCCAAGCAGGGCTGAGCTACAGGTCTTGAGATACTAGCATTTTCACTTTTAATAAGTGAGATTTACAAATCCTGAGTATGCAAAGATATAGCCTCCATTATACTGTATTTATTACATAGAGAGTGTACTATACATTTCACAGAATGGCCCCATGACATTGTCACCTCGGCCCCAAGTGGCATTCACCTTATCTCTGAGCAGCAGCTATAGTCCCTCTCACCTTAGATACCACCACCACTTCAAGTTGTCATTTCTTATCCTTGCAGGACTATTAGTAAAGATGTCATTGTGAAAAAAAGGAAGTTATAAATGCCAAGAAGGGCTGAGCTACAGGTCTTGAGATACTAGCATTTTCAGTCTTAATAAGTGAGATTTACAAATTCTGAGTATGCAAAGATATAGCTTCCATTATACTGTATTTTACTGAATTTAAGACACCATCATTTGTAAGATGCACTGTTATTTTATGTACCATTAGGAAAGAAAATTCAGTGCAAACTAAACTCTGATATGCCATGGATTGTGAGCTGCATCGCAATTTCAGATATGTTAAAATGTGAAAAAAAAAGTATATTTTGAGGTATATCTTGGAATCAGTGAACTAAGGTATTTCTATAATTGTACTTAACTCTCAACATCCATTTTTAGTGATAACAGGAACAGTGATTTTGTCAGTTCAAAGTAAACTCTGTCTTTTCTGGGTTTTACTCAGTCTCATTTGGGTAACAGTCAATTCAGAATTCTCCTGGAGATAGTTCAGAGGGAAGGACCTGCTTATTTAATTTCCAGGTGTTACATCGTCTTGGCCCCAGTCCTCCACAGGCCACAGTAGCCTCCACTGGGATATGACACAATCTGTTTCAGACATCAGTGGCCCCTCCTTAACTTTTTTCTCCTGGTCCATGCACTGTTTGCCCAGCATAACCAAACTGCAGGGTGCCTCCAAGTCCTCCAGCCCTTTTGGCTCTCAGTCAAGAAGTTCTGGCACTCCCAGCTAACCTCCCCACCCTACGGTGAGATGCAGGACCCATCTGTGTGTGCATCTCCCTCAACTAGGCCACGTTTCTGCTCTGGCTCCATACTGGACTCTATGCTTCTCAAGAAGACTTGTAATTTTTCCTGATTACAACCTGGGGAGAAAGATTTAGATCCTCTTCTTATGGAGCCCCTCAGCACAGGGAATTTCAACCCCACGATAAGCCAGGTATATGTCCTTTTCGTCCCTTCACAGATCACTGCCTTGTCCTGGCAAAGGGGCTTGTATAACTCAATGTAGCTATGAGCTGATCCATATAGGGCCACCCAAGATGGATATGTCATAGTGGAGAGTTCTGATAAAATGTGATCCACTGGAGGAGGGAATGGCAAACCCCAGTATACTTGCTGTGAGAACCTCATGAACTATATAAAAGGACAAAAAGACATGATACTGAAAGATGAGCTCCCCAGGTCTGAAGGTGTCCAATATGCTACTGGGGAAGAATGAAGGAGAACTACTAATAGCCCCAGAAAGAATGAAGTGGCTGGGTCAAAGTAAATGATGCTAGTTGTGGGTGTGTGCAGTGACAAAAGTAAAAATCTGATGCTGCAAAGAACAGTATTGCATAGGAACCTGGAATGTTAGGTCCATGAATCAA